ACACAGCATTTTCCGCTAGCAGACTTAATTTCCTGTCAGAAAAAAATAATCAATTACCATCATTTAGTGTGCAAATTTAAGCCATTTTGTGGAGGAGGAAAGACCGGCTTTACGGAAAAGTTAGGTTACTTTTTGCCACTGTGTCCCTCTTGAATTAAAATAAATATCTATTTGGGGGCTTTTTTTTTTTTTTTCCTCAAATTAATCACAGGTAAAACCTTGAAGTGAAACAAGCTGGCTTGTTCTGGAGCGGTAGTCTCAGTACGAGTGATCCTTTCACCTCTTTTGCCAAAATTAATTGCGTTGAATTCCTTCCAGCCTTTGCGCCCATCCCCTTTGGAGGCATTTATCTTCCTCTTGAAGTCCCCGCCAACAAATGCCATCGCTCTCCGTTGGTTCTGGCCTACGACCAAGCTCATTTTTCTGCCCTGGTATCCATGGAGCAGAAGGAACCCACAAAAGATCAAGGTAGGTGATAGATCTAGGTGACAAACTTTGGCTCGCGCGCGGGTTGCCSTGTCACCAGTGTCCATCGAGCAGTGGTGGTGGCCTTGGTGAAGGTCACCTCTGGGTTCAGCAATCTCGGGGAGCAGGGGGAGCTCAGGGGAGCTTGGGGAGAGCGCTGCAGAGAGGCAGCGGCTCCGCTTGCCCGCGGGAGGCATCGCGTGGAAGCGTTAGGCCCTGGCCCCGTGTCACACGGTGGGACAGGGACACGCAGTGGCCTTGAAGGGCTCTCTCCGTTGGCTTCCTCCCGCAGCCGTGATCCCCCTGACGGACTCGGAGCACAAGCTGCTGCCCGTGCACTTCGCCGTGGACCCCGGGAAGGAGTGGCAGTGGGGCAAAGACGACAGCGACAACGTCAAGCTGGCCGGGTTGGTTCGCACGCGGCGCGGCTGAAACYGCTTCTCCTTCCTTCTTTTCCAATCTTGTCAGCATTTTGGGAAACGCTAAACCCCTTTCAGCAAGATAGTGGCCATCACGCCAAATGCTAGGGCTTCAGACCAGCATAGATCATAAATGAGAAATAACAGCCAGTATTTCCCCCCARAAAAGTATTTTTTCCCCTGCTTTTGTCCCGGTGTGACCAGCAGGSATGGAGGTGGCAAATAGCTTTGAACGTGGGCCCTGGGTGGCTCGTTTCTGCCTGGTTTGGACCCGGCCCGCAGCCTGGTTTGGTGCTCGCRGGTTTCCTGTTATTGAGGCAGGAGTCAGCGGCAGTGGGTGGAGTGGTCAGGGAGCTGGAAGCTCCATCATATGACTCTGGGTTAGGAAATGTAGACGCTTCTAAGATCAAAGTGCTAAAATTCAGAGCAGGTCTTAGAGATCCTGTGTCACGCGGTACAAACATCTCATTCTGAGGGTTTGGAGCCAATAGAGAATGTTCTGTCTGTGTGTTTTCAGTGGAAAGAGCTGCTGCTTTTTTTGTTTTTGACAAAGCGGAAATTTTTTAAGAAAACATCTTTATTTTTTCTGAAATTACTTTTGTGGAGAGGAAAGATCATTTTGAAACTGCCTCTATTTAGAGCCATGACATCATTTGATTTTTCTTAGGTGCAGATAATAAGATGATTAGCYGAGCTAATTGTGCACACACTTAATTCTGACCTACAGGAATCTTCTCACTTACTATTTCACTTACTATTTTTGGGTTTTATTATTGACTGCAAAAARGTTATTTTCCTATAATTCAGTCTTGCCTGTGCCTTTGAAAAAAAARAAAAAAACYCTGCTGTGCCATCATTCTCTTTYATGTAGCTCWGGAAATGTAAATGGGCTGGTTTTCGAGGTCCTAGTGGATAAGATTCACYTATTAGCATTTGAAAGCACCTAGCACAAATGTGGTCCCGTGTTTGACTATCTGGTCTTTAAATTTCAGTCCATTTAAGAAATGGAGCTTCTCTGAATAATTGACAACACGATACGCTTGTGCTGTAGCCATGTGTTTGTGCACTCGGTGTAACTTAATCCTCGCTTCCTCCGGATCTGTTAAGCGATTTATTAATTTCAGAGGTAGTTGTCTCTCTGCATGCCGTAAAACAATACGGGGATGTCCCCATGGGCGATTCCCGTGCTGCTCAAGTCCTAGGAAATCCTTAAATGAATTTCATGTTGCTGCTGTCTTGATACAGTGTTTTAAAATATGCTTTTTGACAAAAAGGTGCTGAGCAGTTAGCTCTATACAGAAAAGAGGGAATAAACCTTGGTTATAGTTCCTAACACTTGTTATCTTTCAGCGTGACGTTATCACTGGAAGCAAAGCTGCATTTGCTGCACAGCTACATGAATGTTAAATGGATCACCTTGCCTTGTGACACGCAGGTAAGCAAGCGAGGCAGATTTTCTTTACTTTTTTAAATTATTTAAGCCTCCTTTTCTGGGTAGGGCAGCAGCAGGGAAGTCATCTCGGGCGCTCTCCTGCGTGAGCTGCCATCAGAAATCGCGGGTGCTGCTGCAGCGAGCAGATAAGCAGCTTCTGCTGTGTGTGCACTTGTGTGGTTGAGCTTTCCATGCCTGTTTTCACTCTCAAAGTGAATTTGAGAGCCCTGGTACATCCCGCTGCGTCAGTGTCTGGCAGCAAATCCGACCACTGCTTATTCCAAGGCAAAACAGCGAACTGCTGGTTTGCACCTACCAGCAGCTGACTTGGGCCATGTGATGGGTAAAGCTCAAAATTTCAGTTAAATCATCTCATTCACCACCATCCRAAGTACTGCAAYGTGTCCCTGTCCCACTGTGCTGTCYCCTCCRTGCCGCTGCCCGCGGGTGTCCTGRGCGGGCAGTGATTACASCCCTCACCAGCAGCACCTCTCGCTAACTCATCAAGATCTGGCTTTCACCCTTAAAACTGTAGCAACTGAAGACATTTCACATGGGAGTGCTGCATTTCAAGGCTGCTGCTGGGAGCCTGAGCTCTGCCGGGAGGGATCCAGAGTGGATTGAATCCTGTGGGCCAGTCTGTGGTGCTGCAGGGTGTGAAATAAGCCCCGATATCGGACGCGGTCCCCTTGCCCTAGCAAACATTGTCCGTCCCTCCTCCAGGCTGCTACCTGGGCAACTCTGTTTGCTTTTTGACACACGTTTCCTTTCTCCTTAGGCGCCTTTGGCCCAGCCGGAATCGCCCACGGCCTCGGCYGGCGACGACGCTCGCTCGGCCGCGGAGTCGGGCGACTCCGACAAGGAGTCTGTGTGCAGCAGCTCGGCCAGCAACGGCGGCGGCCGGGCCTGCAGGGACAAAGAGAAGCCAAAGAAAGACCGCGACAAGGAGAAGGACAAGAAGCGGGCAGACTCRGTCGCCAACAAGCTGGGCAGCTTCGGCAAGACGCTGGGCAGCAAGCTCAAGAAGAACATGGGCGGCTTGATGCACAGCAAAACCATCAAGGGCGGCRTGAGCAACGGGGACACCCTGGAGAAGAAGAAGAAGGGCTCGCTGAAGACACGGAAAGGCAGCAGAGAGGAGCCTTCCGCCGGAGACTTGGCAGCTCCAGGGGAGAAATCCAGCAAAGCGGCCGCGGAGAAGCCGGCGGATCCCTACAAATACAGCAACGACGTGAGGCTGAGCCTGAGCATCCTGCGGGCGGCCATGCAGGGCGAGCGCAAGTTCATCTTTGCCGGCCACCTCAAGACCAGCAACCGGCACCAGTACCAGGAGGAGATGATCCAGCGGTACCTGCTGGATGCCGAGGAGCGCTTCCTGGCCGAGCAGAAGCAGAAGGAGGCGGAGAAGAAGGCGCTGGGCCCCGTGGGCAGGAAGGTGGAGCCGGAGGGCAGCGTTCCCAAGGGCGAGGAGGGGATGCTGAGCCCCGCTTACCCGCCGCCGCCGTCCTACGCCCTGCCAGCCCCGGAGCTGCCGCTGGGCGCCAAGACGGTGGCTTTTCCCTCCAGCTACTCGGGSGTCTTCACCTTCCCGCGGCCCTCCGTGGGCGGTGGGGCCGAGGGCTGCCCCGCGGGCGGCTGCCAGGACGTGCGGCGGCAGCTCGCCGGCGGCTCCGGCCTGCCTCCCTACGCCACCCTGCCCCGCCACTGCCCCCCGGCCCGCGCCGGGCCCTACGCCTGCGGCCCGCTGCCCGCCGCCCGCTTCTCTCCACCCGATCCAGAGGCTCAAGCCGGGTTCCCCGTGGAGGCCGACGGCCCGGCCGGCCTCCCCGCCGCCGCTGCCTCCCCCAGCAACGGCTACCGGGACTGCGCGGAGCAGGAGGCGTCGCTGAAAGGGGCCGGCGTGGACAAAACGAGGGGCCGGGCGCTGTACAGCGGGCAGCAGCCCAAGTGCAAGCAGCCCAACTGCGGCTTTTACGGGCATCCCGAAACCGGGAATTTCTGCTCCTGCTGCTACAAGGAGGAACTGAAGCGCAAGGAGCGGGAAGCGCTCGTGCACCGGTTCTGAGGCGCYGGCCGAGGCGGCAGCGGAGCGCTTCTCGCCTTACTGTCCTGCCCGCGCGCTCCGCACAGGGAGCGGGCGCTCGGCCACCGGGGCGCCCGGGAGGAGCAAGCGGAGACTCTGGAAGGAGGCAGGAGGCCGGAGCCGGGATGCGCTCGGCTCGGAGCACGTGGGCCCAGCGGGCCGGGAGGGAAGTTCTCCGGAGCGACCCGAGGAACCAGACCAAAGCCTTCCGGCRCCGCGAGCTCCCGCAGCGCCGCTCCGCCGCGCCCAGCCAAAGCGCCCGGCGAATTCCGGCTCCGGAGCCGCAGAGCTTTTAACGGAGAGGTTTTTAACACTGTTCTTAGTGTACATACAATTATTTTTTGCTGGTACTGAGAGAAACACATAGTTGCAGTTGGACTTTATTTCCCTTTTCTCCCCCCCACCCCGGTTGAGGAGCTCGTCGGAGCTGCCCCCCTGCAGCCGCAGTATATTTTTAAATGTTTTATTTTTCAACTCTTTTTTTGGGGGGTTGGGAGGGGAGCCGAGGGGCTCTGAGCTCCCGGGCCGGCGCCTCTGCCCAGCAATAACCCCGGAGCCCCCGGCCCGGCCGCCCCGCGCGCCGTGACTCTTTCTACTTGATCAAGCTACTTCCGTACTACCTCTGTTCTGCCGAATAGGATTAACTTGGCTCCATTTTGCTGAGCCCCTAACTGACCTTTCGACTGAGTCATATTAAAGCTATTTTTGATAATAGGGCTAACGAGCGAAGCGGGAGGAAGGCGCTCCCCCCTCGGCCGTGCACGCTTGACGCGCTCCCATCCGCGCTCCCTTCTCCCTCCCCGGCTCGCGGCGGGGGGCACCTCTAGCACTGCAATGTTTGCACAGATTTTTTKTTGTTGTTGTTTTATTCTCTTTTCCTTGGTTTTTGTAACTAGACCCCGCCCCGGCCTCGCAGCCCGGTGCAGCCCCGCGTAGAGGCAGGTCAAGCGTTTATTTTTTCGCTCCCCTCTCCACAACCCCCGCGCAAATAAAGCCGTGAATGGTACCCCGAGTCGCAGAGTGGCAGCGGCCCCGCCGCGCGTCGCTTCCGTGTTTTCCGGGCGCTGGGCAGCCCTGGCCCGAGCCGGTGCCGCCGGGAGCGGGACAGGCGCGCGGGGCGGCACTCGCGGCGCTGCTCCTAGCCCGGGGCCCTCACCCAAAGCCTTATTCCCACCCACCGATTTGGGGGCGAACGCGCCTGTCTTGCCACTTTACCAGAYGTGCAACCCCCAAATCCAGCTTTTTTCCACAGGGTTTCGCTTGGGGCCTCGGGCACGGGYGGAGATTCCGCGCTCGCCACGTTGCCTTGCGCCATCTACTAAAATCCACTAAAAGCATCTAAAAAAATCCCCTCGTTTCACAGTAGAAGTGTCTCTCCCTGCTCTTCTTGGTGGCTGGGGGGGGGAGCACATTTTGGGTTATTATTTGCCAGCTCAGGGCGCGGAGGTCGGCGCAGGGAGTGCCGCCAAGGTCTGTTTTCCCGTTTTGGGGTGTTTTGGGGGAATGCAGCCCTGCGAGCCTTGCACGAGCAGCCTCTTTGCAGCCCCCGCGCCCGGCCGCTTCTCGCGGGCAGTCAGCAGCCCTCCACGAAATCCAAACAGGGAGCGGGAAAAGGAAAACAGGGAGGGGGCAAAGCCACGTTTCCAATGAAAATAGGGGAGAAGGGTTGAGCTGGAGGAGGGCCCGGCCCTGCCGCCTCCCTGGGTCGCGGGGAGGGAAGCGCCTGCCTCGCGTCCCCCCAGCCAAGGGCCTTTTCAGGTCATTTTTGTTTCCTTTGTGGTGAAACGRTTTCTGTTTCTTCTCCGCGGGACTATTAAATGCAGCTCCTATTTAATGGAAGAGGCTCTTCATCTCCCGCCCTTCCCTTTTCGGCAGCATCCCAAAGCCACCGGGGTTGTTTTTGGGGGTTGCGGTGGCTCAGGCCTCTGCGTGTCTGTCCCCTCCACCTGAGCTGGGTTTTTGGACAAACATTTAGCTCCCGCATTTAGTCCTTAATTCCCACCGTTTTTATGTTATTTGATGAGGGAGCGAGCGGGGCTGGCACCTCCGGGCACGACCTGGCGCGTTGTCCTCGGGCTGTTCCCGCGTCCTCCGCTTGTGCTACCAGCGCGTCACTCGCAATAAACCGAGCTCAGCCGCCGCGGCCGGGCTGTCCCGGCCTCGCACTCTGCTTCTCCCTGGGCCCGGGACTCCCCAAATCCTGGTTTTCCACCATYAAACGCAGCCTTTTTTATCCCCCAGTCCCTCCTTTGGGGGCTGGGATTTCTCCCCCTTTCCCGGGCCCAGTTCCAGCCCAGGAGGGCATCGTTCTTTGCACGGCCTCATTTTTGGGGAGGAGAAAGCTGTTTTCTGGGGTGCTGCATCACCCCGGTGGGGTCGCGGTGCTGTGACCCACCTGCTGCGCCGGACTCCTGGGCCCCTCTGCGGGGCAAGGGGGGGCGGGGGCCGCCCGGCTTGGCCTCGGCTCCGCTTTTTCCAGGCCGGGAGGCGGCGGCGATGCCTGGGCCGTGAGTCACGGCCGCCCGGTGCCAGCCGCCGGCCCGGCTGCCTCGCGGGGACCCGCGGGAGCCTGCGGGAGGGCGCGGGACGAAGCGAGGCCGCAGCGGGGGCATCCTGCCGGGGGCATCCCGGGGTTGGGACGTGGGGGCAAAGCCGGGCACGGAGCCGGGCACGGCGGCTCTTGGCCCTCCCCGGTGCCGGGTTCACCCCCCGGGGCTGCCCGGTGCTCTCTGGCTGCCACGGAGCCGCCCAGGGGTGCCCAGCGTGTCCGGGGGTCCCGGCCGGGTCCGGCCCTTCCCGGGCTCCAG